AGGTATAATCAAAAGACAAAGTGTTGGTGAGGATATGGAGCAAAGGGAACCCTTGTGTACTGGGTGGGAATGTGAACTGATATAGCCACCACGGTAAACACTATGGAGGTTTCTCAAAAAATTAAAAAATGAAACTAACGTATGATCTAACAATTCTGAGTATTTACTAGAAAAAAAACCCCACCAACTTGAGGGGTTGGTGCCTCAACGTTCCCTGTGGCATTATTTACAATAGCCAAGATACGGAAACAACCTAAGTGTCCACCGATGAATGACTACTGCTGTATGTGTATGTATATGTGTGTGTGTGTGTGTGTGTATATATATATGTATATATGTATATGTACATATATATGTATACATATGTACATACATACATATGTATATATGTGTATGTGTATGTGTATATATGTGTATATATGTATATGTGTACATATACATATATGCATATATGTATATACACACACATATACATACACACACACACAAAATGAAATATTATTTGGCCATAAAAAAATAAGAATGAAATCTTGCCATTGGCAACAACATGGATGGACTTTGAGGGCATTATGCTAAATGAAAGAAGCCAGACAGAGAAAGACAAATACCATCTGATCTCACTTATGCGTAGAATCTAAAAACAAAACCAAAAAACAATCCAAAACTAAGTTCTCAGATACAGAGAACAGACTGGTAGTTGCCAGAGGCGGTGGGGTATACAGTGGGCTAAATGGAATAAAGTGGGTCGAAAGGTACAAACTTCCAGTTATGAAATAGGTTGTTCCTGGGGGTGTAAAGCACAGCATGGCGACTATAGTTAATAATACTACAATGAAACTTGCTAAGCGAATAGATCTTAAAAGTCCTCACCACAAGAAAAAATTCTGTAACTACGTACGGCGACGGATGTTAACTGGACATTGTGGTGATAAAATGTGAAGCCATTGCGATGTATACCTGAAACTAACATAAATGTTGTATGCCAATTATAGCTCAATAAAAAAAAAAATTCCTGGAGAGGCTCATAGGAAAGCAGTTAACTCACTAGACGACTGGTTTATTACAAAGGATACAAAGCAAAAACCTGATGGAGATAAACAGGGCAAGGTTTCCAACAAAGGAGCTTCTGTCCTCATGGGGCCCGGCCAGTGGCATATGGAAGCATTCTGGTTCACTAATCTGGAAACTCCCAAATCCCATACTGCTGGCATTTTCATGGAGGGCTTTCTCAGAGAGGAACGGTCAATTATTAACTCTATTTTCAACACCCCTCTCCTCCCTGGAGAATTGGAGGTGGACGGTGGGGTGGTGGTGAAAATTCCAAGTTTCCGATTGTGGCTTGTCTCTTTGGTGACGAGCTCCCGTCCAGGAGGCATCCGGAAGCCCACGTGGCGTCACCTCAAGAGAACAAGAGACACCCCTGTGCTGTCATTGCTTAGGAATTCACCAGGGTTGTAGGAGTTCTGTGCAGGCGCTGGGGGCAGAGCCAAATATACCTATTTCTTATTATTTCACACAAGGAAACGAAATGTCCAAAATTTGATTCACTGTCTTCCTCCTCTTCACCTCCCCAGGTCTGCTCCTTTGCACACATTCCCACGACAGCTAACAGCTTTGTTATACCCTGAGTCATCCGATCCAGGAACTTGGGAGTCATTCTTAATTTTTCCTTCTCTCTCAACTGTCCCACTCAGCCCAAATGTTCACAAATCCGTTCCATTTTAATTCTCGAGCGTCTCTTAACTCTTCCTCTCTGCCGTCCTTACTCCGGTTCTGGCTCGAACCACACACGCGGTTCGCACACAGCCTCTATGTGCTCTCATCGCTCATCTCATCCCCTTCCCAACCTCATCCCCATCCTCCACGAAGCCGCCGCAGTTGGGTTTCCAAAATTCCATTCTGATCTTCCCGTGCTCCGGCTTTTTTAACGGCCTCCCACTGCCTAGGCAAAACGTCGCCACTTCTAAGCCTGGTGCGCAAGGCCCTTCAGTGACATCGTTCGGATCACCTGCCTTCCCCCCTCACCGGCACCACACCCCCCTTCACTTTAGCTAAATTACACAGTCTCCTGAGCTTGCCACAGGCTTCCCTCACTTCTCGTCACCTTGTCCATGCAGCGCCCGCCACTTGGAACACGGTTAACTCAGGGAGCCCGTGCACCGGATGGGAACAAAATTACATTTTTATTTTCATTAGCTTCTATCTGAAACTTGGCATTTCCGTCAGTTATGATGGCAGGGAGCAAACCAGGGTGGAATTAGCATCACCTGTGACTTTTTCACAGAAGAAATTAGACTTTTTGTATCATATTAGCACTGTTGCAGACAGCCCAAAGTAACATTCATACACAGTCTGAGATTATGATTATGATCTTGTAATTAATGTGTTAATAACAAAGCACATACTAGTATATCACAAACCTGCTTTTTCTAATTTTTGATAACAAAACTATATTTCAATATTATTGGTTTCATTTAGAATTCTATGTATCCTAATTTACGTATTTAAAAACATTTTGAGAAAAGCTCCTCTCTAGCATGCCAAGAGTCTATAGTACAGAAAAGGTTAGAGTCCGGACACCCAGGATGTGCCTTCCCACTCTGCCTTCCTGGAGGATTGCTATTCTCCCTATAAGACTTGAATGAAATACCACCTTCGCTATCGAACTGTCACCTTGACCCTCACATCTGCCCTTCCCTTCCGCACGCTCACAGGCCCTCTGTACGTGTCTGGCTTCCTTGTTAGACGAAACTCCTGGAAGACAGGAAGGTGTTATTCATTTTTGTATATTCAGCACCTGGTTCAGAGCCTACCGCACAGAAGTGAAACAGAATTTTGTTGAAAGAATGTCATTTTTTAAATGTTTATTTTTGAGAGAAAGAGAGACAGCGGGGAGGGGCAGAGAGAGAGTGGGGGACCCAGAATCCGAAGCAGGCTCCAGGCTCTGAGCTGTCAGCACACAACCCGATGCGGGGCTCACGGCTTGTGTCACAGCTGCGAGATCATGACCTGAGCCAAAGTCAGAAGCTTAACCGACTGAGCCACCCAGGCACCCCTGAAAGACTGTAAAAGAATATAAGCGGATGAAATATTTGAGAGTCTGAAAATCCGGGTCTGAGTCCTGGCTAACAAGTAGTAGCTATGTGACTTTGGGGAAGTCCTCTAATTCCTTCGAGCCTCTTTCTCAGGTGTGAAATATAGGTACATCTCCCTTACTTACTGCATTCTTTTGTCAACAAGATCAAAATAAGGTAACTGTGTAAGTGCTTTGTTGAGCTGCAAGGGTCACACAGAACTTAGTTGTTATTATATGAAGTTATCTCATAACATATTTTTAAAAATTGTGCTAAGGTCAGCTCATTATTTAAAATCTACCTCCAGCCAAATCCGTCTACCTGCTGCTACGGATTGAAGGTTTCTGTACCCCCAAGTTCATATGTTGAACCCCTAATCCCCAGTGTGCTGGCATTTGAAGGTGGGACTTCCAGGAGGAGCCCTCATGATGGGGTTCACGCCCTCGTAAGAAGAGACAGCAGAGATGATTCCTCTCTCATTCTCTCTGCCAGTGTGAGGACACAGCAAGACGGTGGCTGACTATAAACCAGGAAGAGTGTCCTCACCAGAACCCAACTGTGCCGGCACCCTCATCTCGGACTTCCAGCCTCCACGACTGGGAGAAATAAATCTCCACTGTTTAAGCCACGTGGTCCATGAGATCTTCCGGCAGCGCCCACTGAGACGCTGCTCTGTGCTGAGGGTGCGTCCAGAAGCTCATTCCCCAAGTGTGCCAACCCCACGCCCTGGCCTGTCTCTATGCCCTCGCTCCGTTCTTCCTTTCTGTTACTTCGCCTGATGCCCAGCGAAGACGCTGCCTGGGTGGCTCCTACCGATGCTTCAATATACTCAGTCTCAGTGACAATAACCTCCTCTACAAACCTTTTCCTGGCCTGTCCCTCTCCCACCCCTCGCACCGTGTCTGAGGGTTAACCTTCTGTGAGTCTCCAGAGAGCAGAGGCTCTGGCCTATTCTTGACCTCCTCTCATCCAGCAGGAACTTGTGTTTGCCTGAGCATAAAATTGGACAGGCAAAGATGATTAGAAAATATATGAAACAAATCATGACACTGTGTGTTTTTGCTTATTTGTAAGAACAGTGTAGCTTGGCCTTCTATGTTTAAATTCTGAATGATGAATCTGTCATAAGCCCTTTAAATACTCAATTTCACCTCATTGGAAATATAAATCCATTCATTCTAGCCAAGCAAGCTGAAATTCATCTCGCAATGCTGTTTTGATAGTCATACCATAATGCAGAGCGCTGTGTCATTGAAAATGTCACCACGATGAGGCTGAAACAAGAGCCCCCAGCACCTCTGAATCCCTCCCGTTCTCACTGTGCCCACAAGGAGAACTGGAGTGAGAATTTAGCTCAGAGTCCTCACCCTGGAGTGAGAAGACGGAGAACGGAGACCAGAGGGACCACAGCCAGTTCCATGCACAGTGAGTTATAGGCTGACCCTTTCAGAGCAGAAGGCAGCGGTGATCTTTCAGGCCCACATGCAACCCTACAAGGGCATTTCTGACCCTCTTACAGGCTTGCCTTAGGGTTTCCTCAATTCTAAGGAGATAGTTCCCAAGAAAGGACATGTATAGGAAAAACACCTCCAAGTCAATAATACACATTCAGGCTAAAATTTAAGTTTGAGATTTACTTTGAGATCAAGCAGAAGGAAAAGAAGTTATCACCTGCTTACACTATCAGTCAACTATGTCACTTCCTACTTCACAGACACAACAAAGCACACATCAGGGAAAACTTTCGCTTTCTGGCCACCTGCCGTCAGATCCATTTCCCCCAGTGACCTGAGAACAAGTTACCTGATTTGGTTTTGTGCTCCCTTCAGTTCTTCAATTCCTGAAAGTCACAAACCAGCTTGCGCCATGATAGTTAATAACTTATTAACTACTCCTCTATTTAAATGTCCTCTATAATCTTCTTACCTACGGTTAGGAAGGTGCTCAACAGCTGCTCCGTGGCAACAGGCTTCATCTCTGTCCGCAGATTAACAAATCTGCCAACCACTAAGGGCGCTCGGCGGAAACCCAGGATCCTGGTTTGGGAGGTTGAAGAACAGAAGAGAAAAATCTGTGGGGGTGTATTTGACAAAGTAGTCTTAAAAAGATATTGTTGTTTCATAGGTAAATGTGTATATTTTGAAGATTTTATTTGTAAGTAATCTCTACCCCCAACATGGGATCGAACTCATGACCCCAAGATCAAGGGTTGCACGCTCTACTGACTGGGCCAGTCCAGTGCCCCTGCGGGTCAGTCTGTTTTAAAGGTACGTATATTTATGAGCTTAATATCAAGATGTAGGTCATTTATTTTAATATGTACTTCAGCAAAAGGGATAAGGCAAATCTGGCCAAATGTGGACAGTTGCTAAATCGGGGAAATAGATACACGGGTTCATTATACCGTTCTAATTTGTTAGAAATTTTTCATAATAAAAAATTTTAAATAAATTTTAACAAAGCATTAAAAAATGGGCTTAAATACAGAGAAAGACAGATACCATATGTTTTCACTCTTATGTGGATCCTGAGAAACTTAACAGAAACCCATGGAGGAGGGGAAGGTAAAAAAAAAAAAAAGAGGTTAGAGTGGAAGAGAGCCAAAGCATAAGAGACTCTTAAAAACTGAGAACAAACTGAGGGTTGATGGGGGGTGGGAGGGAGGGGAGGGTGGGTGATGGGTACTGAGGAGGGCACCTTTTGGGATGAGCACTGGGTGTGGTATGGAAACCAATTTGACAATAAATTTCATATATTGAAAAAAAAATAAAAATAAAAATAAAAAATAAAAAATGGGCTTAAATCCACACATAGGTTCAAAGCTTTGGGTAAAACAGCACACTGGCAGGAAACTATCAGATTAATCTGAAGGATTAACCCATAGGACTACTTAAATACAGATACACGCGAAGATAACTTCTCTCTAATGGTGTAAAGTATAACCTTATGGTTGAGCAAAATCATTTTTTAAAAAATGAAATTTACTGGCAAAAAAATACACACTCACTGAAGAAAGTTGGAGGGGCAGGACTTGGAACACACAGAATCGTTATGATGAAGAAAATAAAGATCACCCATAATTCCGCAGCCCAGAAATAACTATTGGACTTTTGGCATATGAGCATTTTTCCCTTTACACATATATATAAAAACATACACACTCTTGTGTATATACACAATGGAGATTATACTATACCCAATTTTGTATCCTGCTTTGCATTCATCATTATATCATGAGCCTTTTCTCATGTCATCATAAAACTTTTAAAAACAGCTGTGTAGGGGAGCCTGGGGTGGCTCAGTCGGTTAAGTGTCCGACTTCAGCTCAGGTCATGATCTCACAGTTTGTGGGTTCGAGCCCCGCATCAGGCTCTGTGCTGACAGCTCGGAGCCTGGAGCCTGTTTCGGATTCTGTGTCTCCCTCCCTCTCTGCCCCTCCCCCACTCGCACTCTGTCTCTGTCTCTCTCAAAAATAAATATTGAAAAAAATTTTCTTAAATAGCTGCGTAAATAAAGAATCCACTGTTCGGGGTTGCTGACTGACTCTGTCTTAATCTTAGAAAAGCCGCAAAAGCAAGTTAATCAACTGAGGTGTCAAAATAACAAGCATCGAGAGGACCTCCCAAGGCCAGAGAAGGCGGTCAAATCCTAACGTAATGGAGAAACAGCAACCCAGAGCAGAGACGTGTCGGGAGCCATGGATGGGAAAGAAGAGTTGGAAAGTACTTTTCCTCCCTACTGACCAGCGCCAGGCCAAACAACAGCAGCCAGTTTGGCGCAGAGGGGCCACGTCACAGCGGCAGTTAACAAAACGGGTGGGGGTACTGGCTAGAGAATAACTTGCAGGCTTTGAGGTAGGGAAGGACTTTTAAATACAAGGCCCCCAAAGCACAAGTCACGCATTGGAACATTAGTGTATTTACTTAACACCAAAGGCAGTGATTTCTGCACAAAGACAACTTCACTTGAAGTTAACATACAGGCGGTTGTGCTGTGAAAAGGTAAGGAGACGTTCAATTTTGCTAATAACTGGGGGAAAACAAAAATAAGTAACAATGATGTACCACTTTATTTGACTGGATTAACACAAATTAGCGTGTTGGACGCTATGAACTACTGGTATAGATACGGGAAAATGATCTTCACGCACGGCTGGTGTCCATCAGCAGGGAAACAGGAAGGGGTTTGGGAATGAAGAAAATGGAAACAAATGAGGTCTTGGAAAGACTGATTCCAGAATGTCATTTAGTGAGAAGCAGGATTTACCTAACTCTCTACTGCTAGGTCTTAAAAGAGGCAGTGAAAATTCATGGCGTTGTGAACAAACATTTATTTGACCTTTTCCGTATCACTGGATGTTTGGATTGCTACCAGTTTTTCACTACTGAAAATGCTCCAGCTAAGATCGTGGGTATATATCTTTGAATTTCATTACTTCTCCATGGTACTTCCTAGAAGTACCTTCCTAGAAATATCTTAGATAATTGTGTGAAAAGGTAGTTATGTTACTCATCCAAAGAATAGGAACATTAAGGTTCCTGATACATGACAGAGTTCCTAAAAAGAAAAACTGAACTGGGGCGCCTGGGTGGCGCAGTCGGTTAAGCGTCCGACTTCAGCCAGGTCACGATCTCACGGTCCGTGAGTTCGAGCCCCGCGTCGGGCTCTGGGCTGATGGCTCAGAACCTGGAGCCTGTTTCCGATTCTGTGTCTCCCTCTCTCTCTGCCCCTCCCCCGTTCATGCTCTGTCTCTCTCTGCCCCAAAAAATAAATAAACGTTGAAAAAAAAATTAAAAAAAAAAAAAAAGAAAAAGAAAAACTGAACCGATTTAACAATGCCACAAGCTGCATATGAATCTCAATCCATTCCTGCCAATAAAGTACTACCCTCTTAAAAAAAAATACTGGCCATTTTCAGCAGAAGAAAGTAGTATCCCATGGTTTCAACTGGATTTTTTTTTTTAAGTTTATTTATTTATTTTGAGAGAGAAAGAGACAGTACAAGTTGGGGAGGGGCAGAGAAAGAGGGAAAGAGAGAGAATCCCAAGCAGGCTTTGCATGGCCAGTGCAGGGCTCAATGCGGGGCTCGAACCCATGAAGCCACGAGATCATGACCTGAGCTGAGACTGAGTCGGACGCTTAACCGACTAAGCCACTCAGTGTCCTTCAACGGGATTTGCTGTTACTGGTGAGGATGACCCCCTGCCATATTTATTAGCAACCGATCATTTCTATTCAGTCAACTGTGTCCTTAGACCATTTTCTATTAGGATTTTAGCACATATTTGGATTTGTATAAACATTTATAATATTAAGGCTATTAATGCTTGGATTACATTAGGTTCAAGTATTATCTCCTAGTTTGATTTTAAATTTTGTTTGATGTTTCCTGACATATGAGTTAACTTTATTTAGCTGAGTCTACCGAATAGCTTTTCCTTTGCAATTTTTCAATTATTGCTTTTGTGCCTAGAAAATCCTTCGTAATCCAGAAAAAGACAAAAGTCCATCTTTGTTTTCTTCTGGTTTCCTTTACACGTTCGTTTAAAAAATACTGTGAATATTTCTTTTAAAGTCTGTCAATATGCCCTGAAGAGGGGCGCCTGGGTAGCTCAGTCAGTTAAGCATCCGGCTCTCAGTTTTGGCTCAAGTCATGATCTCGCGGTTAGTGGGTTTGAGCCCCGTGCTGGGCTCTGTGCTGACAGCTCAGAGTCTGAAGCCTGCTTTGGATTCTGTGTCTCCCTCTCTCTCTGCTCCTCCCCTGCTTGTGCTCTGTCCCTCTCTCTCTCTCTCTCTCTCTCTCTCTCTCTCTCTCTCTCTCTCAAAAGTAAATATTAAAAAAAAAAAAAGCCCTGAGGAAAGAGCTGATCAGAAGAACAAGTGAGATACAGGCAGTTCAGTTACAATACTCCTAAACTAGCTACCTGCTGAAAAAATATTAATTTTCCTAGTTAGCCTATACATTTAGAATTTACATCTATTTTTCTTTTAGAATTATTCTGGTTATTGAAGCCATGCGTTTTTTGTATGAAGGACCATAAAATTCATGATATATGTCATGCTGTGTGCTTCTAGCATATGGAGATAAGTCAGTATTACCTACTTTAAACAAAAATAAGACAAAAAAACAGTACTGTCAGGTCTAATTAACAATCAATTCAATTTAGGGACTTGAGTTCCAACTCTGGTTTTCATCCTGCCCTCTTATTTACCAAGAACGCCTGCGCTCATGACGACAGGAGGCATACCAGAATGAAATGACCTTAACAAGCGTAGAGTGAAGATATTTACCCTGGTGTTCCTAGAACCACCCAGATTATGAAGGACTCATACAAATTTAACAGACTCTGTCGGTCAGCTATCTAAAGTAGGTACCAAGTCAAAGCCATTAGCGTTGCTCCCTTTAGAAGGAGGCCACGAGCCCTCTCCAAGATATTTTTAAAAGGAAACAAAACAAACGTAGCCCTCCATGATGGCACGTACCTGTCCAAATGAAAGGCTGCTACCTCTGCATTGTGTCTATCATAGCCAGCATACGGCTCCCCTTCTACCACATAGTCTCGGTTATACCTGCAGAGTGAGTGGGAGGCACACACGGAGACGTGAATTACATCAGCACCAGAGGAGACAGCACAACAGAAACTTCAGCAGGCCTGATTCTGCTCTGCAGACACGTTCTCAGTCAAAGCTGAGAAGAGCTGTGGATTAGGACGAATCTCCGGTAGGTAGGGTAAAGATAAAGTAGAGAAGGAAACTGGAATTCTCTCCCTGCCTCAGCAATTATTCTATGAATAAAACACGGAAGAGGTTATTTCTATCCCTCTGAAATACTTTCAGTGTGGTTTAAGTAACACTACAAGGTCATTTTCTGGAAGGCAAGGACCATCTCTGTATCTCTAGCACAATGTTAAGCCTATAGTTGGTGCCTAATAAACGTTTACTAAGATGTTTACTAGACTGAACTAAAGAAACGAAGGGAAACGTACAACTAAAATGTCTCTTTACCGGAAGGACTATGGCAAGGCTTGTAAGAGAAGTTTAAATTTTGGGGGGAAAAAACGGTCTGGATGTGCCTCAGCTTTTGTTGAAGAGTAGGCAAAGGTGCACATGAAAAGCGTTGTTGGAACAACCATCCTCTTTTTCTTTTTAGGTTTATGATGACGTGTGGAGGGAATACTGGCCTGGCACGAGAGCTACATATACAGTTCTGTCATTACCTTCTGGGTAACCTTCAACAAAACCAGTCTCTTCTCTGGGTCTTAGATTCTTCATCTACAATGTATGAGGGGCCGGACCAGAAGGCAATTTCCAAGATATCATTCATCTCAAATTCCATTCTGATTATTTTACATCACATGCATGACATAAACCAAGGATAATAAAAGCTAGAATATTTCTTTCGACTAATCATAAAAAAAGATACCATTTAACCGTTAACTAGGAAGAAAGGGACACTAAATTCACCTATAACCTCTCCTGTTTGCATGCATTTCCTGAATCAAAAGGCCTATTTATTAGGCTTTACAGGCAACAGTAAGATAGAAATGAATGGAGACTGAAGCAGAGTGGAGCTGTTCCACCGAGGACACTTGCATCGGGGAAGTGGGAAACACTGCGATAAAAAGCAGTGAACTTGCAACAAAAATGACCTTGGAATCTAAAGGGAAACCATATCCACAAAACACATTTTCCAGGAAAAGTACGGAACATACACGTCAGAAGACAGCCGTGCGTCACCACCTGGTTGGAGGCCAGTTTCTTCTTGGCCTGGTCAAAATACTCACGTGTAGTTCTTACGTTTCTAGTGTCAAAGCATTATTCAGGCTACTTAGGATTATACGGCTACCTCCCAAATGAGTCTCCATTTTTATTTTTTTTATTTTTTTTTTTCAACGTTTATTTATTTTTGGGACAGAGAGAGACAGAGCATGAACGGGCGAGGGGCAGAGAGAGAGGGAGACACAGAATCGGAAACAGGCTCCAGGCTCTGAGCCATCAGCCCAGAGCCCGACGCGGGGCTCGAACTCCCGGACCGCGAGATCGTGACCTGGCTGAAGTCGGACGCTTAACCGACTGCGCCACCCAGGCGCCCCAGTCTCCATTTTTAAATAGAACTGCAGTAAAAGCTGACATTCCTCAAGCACTTCTCTCCCCGCTATAGCCGCAGGCCGTCCGTACAGCCGGGGGACAGTCCTGGAATACTTTCTTTGCTGGGGCCCCAGCGGGGCCTCCACACGCAGGGAGGTACGTGCAGTCCACTCCTCCCAGCGAAACGTTAGAGAGCTTTCCAATACATGGAAAGGCTGCTCTAAGTGAAAGGTAAAACCCTAGAGGAATCCAGAAACATCGGGGGTGGCCTGGAGAGGAAGGGAGGGAAAGAAAAGGGAAAGGAGTAAGAATCACAGAGCTGCCAGCAGAGTCAGGAGGTCTGAATCCCTGGCTCACGTTTCGGCTGTTCGAAACACAGCAAGCCAGAACTGCGCGTCTCACCCGTCAAATGAGCAGTTGGACTGGGCGTTCTCCGAGGTCCCTGCCAGCACTTCCTAGGACCACTCACTCACTTCTACCCACTCCTAGGCTCCTGCCACCTTGTTGCTTTCCCACCAGAACTGCAGCCCTCGCCCGGGGAAAGCCAATTTACTTCCAGAATGGGTAGAGCTACACTGAAAAAAAAAAAAAATCACGTTTCTAATGTAAGGCAAAAGGTGCAAATAGAAGCATCACTGTCTTCCCATAAATTGCATCCACCGCACACGTGTCCTATCTCTGACAGAAGGACATGGCCAACCAGGCTCCGGAAGTGCGGAAACCACAAGCGGCTGTTAAAGAAAGGTGCGTGTGTCGCCTTAGCAGCAGGGGCGCAGAGCCTCCTCTCAGCAGAGAGTGATCTATCTTAAGTCACTGACAGAGCAGCAAAATTCATAGAGTAACTGCCAATAAATCACTCCTATCCTTCTGGGGAAGGACATCAGAGTCTGACCAAGGACATTAATTTGCGCTTACACCAGGACTAAATAGCCTCTGAGGCCCCCAGGGTCAGAACAGCAATTTGCTAGGTATCTCGAGACCAGAGTCAATTTCTACAGGCACTTGAACATACACCCACCTTCCGCAGCCTGCGACAGTGCCAGGTGTCACCAGCACAGGTCGGGTGCGTGCAGTGACTGAGAGCGGGATCCCCCAGGGCAGGTGGGGGAGCAGAGTCCCCGGGGGCTGCGAGTGGACATGGGCAGTTGGGGGGCGGGGACTAGTTTGGCAGGAATAAAGAGCAGGGTGCAGAGAGGAGGGCCGGACGGCCAGGGGTTGACCATTAGGCTGCGGAGGCTGCGCTTTGCCCGGTGAACGATGGGACGTTCCTGAATGTTTTCAAGCTGGGAACACCATGCCAATATGGGCGTCTGAAGGAGGAATGACAGCGGCCTTCAGGAAGGTGAGGGGAAGGCTGCAGTGGCGGTAGAGACAGGGGATGAAGCACAGTGACTAGGTGAGTTGGTGCAGTTATCGCCTGCCACCTCCCCCAGTCACCAGCGGGCGGCCCCTCCCTCCACTTCTACCTTGACCGAGCACCTTGACCGAGGCCTTCCTGCACAGCGCCTGGACCAACGCTAACAGCGCCACTACCAGGAATACCTGCCTCCTCCCACTTCCTGCTGGCGCATCTTACCCCCAATTCCCCAGTGTGGGAACGGAGGGCTGGGTACAGAGGGGACATCCTCTTATTTAGACGTGAAATGCTCACAACTCACCTCTGTACACCAATTTCATTTGTTTTTAGTCTGCCTTTTTTCCATTACTCTGCTCACACTGCTGATCACCCAGGCCACAAACCAAGAGGTCGAGGACTACATTTCAAAACTAAACTAGTGATTTCTGCTGACAGGTGCTCAGGAAGGCAGGCAAACAGAAGAGAATCACACGTGCGTGGCAGAACACCAGCCACTCTTACTCAGATCCAAACGCCAGTTACTGCGAGGTGACCTTGTCAAGTCAGTTACTCTCTCTCAGCCTCAGTTTCTTATGCTAGAAGAAGTGTAGGGACATTTGGGTGGCTCAGTCGGTTGGGCATCCAACCTTTGGTTGCAGTTCAGGTTTATGATCTCATGGTTCGTGGGTTCGAGCTCTACGTTGGGCATTGTACTGACAGCATGGAGCCTGCTTGGGATCCTCTCTGTCTCTTCCTCTCTGCCCCACCCCTGCTCGCACTCTCTCTCTCAAAATAAATAAACTTCAGTGTAACTGCCCACAGTCGTGGTAAAAGCTAAAAGCATTGACAGATACAAAAGTACTTAGTGTAGAGCCTGGAGAATGGTGTGCATTCAATGGAAATTATGTCGCAGGGCCCACGGAACCATACTTTTTCCATATCACCTGCCAATCAGACTTTTCTATTCTCCAAAGGCATGCCGTATGTTTCCTTTCCTAACTTCCGCATCTTCCATACATCACACTTCCCAGTTCCAGGCAAATACAGATTTCTTCCATTTCTGGGATCCCAATGTATTTGTTCTCTGGCTGTATGTTATCTATTGATGGTTGGGTCATGAAGACAGCTAGGCTAACTACTCTTATCACAGTTGAATTTTGTACATCTTTACCCCACATTTCTCCCACCGGAAAGAGACCCAAAGGTATCGGTTATAATTCTCTCAAAAGCCCTATTAAGGAATGAGAAAAATGTTTAGTACATAGAAAATTTTAGACATTATAAACTTTGAGAAAATTCACTGGTAACTAACTCCGGGCAAAAGAATATGAATCACCATCATGTTAACCTATTTCGAATTCATATACTCACAGGAAACTTTTAAAAATATTAATTATACTACAGAATTGCCAAACAAATGATCTCTGTAGAGCCTTGGAGAAGTCTCCAAGGGATCATCATCTAACGACATATAATTCAGCCCACTTTTTCAGATTTTGGACTGAAGTAACTAGAATGGCCCAGTTCTCTCCTTAAAACAGGTAAACACACACACACACACACACACACACACACACACACACACACACACAACCTGAAACCCAAAACAATGAGGCATCACTACACACATATCAGAACGGCCAAAACCCCCAACACTGACAGCACCAAATGCTGGTGAGGCACCTAATGCCGCTCATTCACTGCTGGTGGGAATATAAATAGCACAGCTACTTAGGAAGGCAGTTTGGCAGTTTCTTGCAAAATTAAACATCCTCTTACCATATGATCCAGCAAACGTGCTCCTTGGTAGTTACCCAAATGAGCTGAAAACTTACTTCTACACAAAACCTGCACATGAACGTTTGTAGCAGCTTTATCCATAATTGCCAAAATGTGGAAGCAACTAAGATGTCCTCCAGTAGGTAAATGGAGAAACAAACTGTGGTACAACCGGACGATGGAATATTACTCAGTAATAAAAAGAAATGAGCTATCGAACCACAAAAAGACATGGAGGAAACTGAAATGCATTTTGCTAAGTGAGAGAATTCACCCTGAAAGGCTACAAAGGTAGGATTCCAATTATATGGCATTCTGGAAAAGGTAAAACTATGGAGACAGTAAAAAGATCAGTGGTTGCTAGGAGTCTGCGGGAGGAAGGGGAGGAGGAACATGTGGAGCACGGGATTTTTAGGATAGGAAAGCCATTCTGTGTGATAATGTAATGGTGGATGCTTGTCATTAGAGGTTCATCAAAATCCACAGAATGTACCACACAGAGCCTGAACCTCACTGCGAACAGCGAACTTTAGCTAATAAATTCCTACTGGCTCATCAACTGCAATAAATGTACTACACTAGTGGAAGAGGTTAATTATAGGGAAACTGAGGCGGGGGCGGGGGGACAAACTCTCTGAACTTACACCCTCGCCTTTTCTGTAAACCTAAAACTGCTCCAAAAAATAAAGTTTATTAATTAAAATGAAATCAAAACAAAACCCATGTGAAACAATCACAGCTTCAGTCCTTAGACTTTAGTCACCTGTCCAAACCCACTCAAGCTGTGGGTAACTCCTACTCCACCACACCCCTGATGTGTGCTTGGTTAGCCGGCCTCTAACTGCACACTTCTGGTGACAAGTCGCTTATTTCCCAACCAATTCATTTTGTATCTCTAACATTTGGCACACAGAACATATTTGATAAATTTAGAAATCAAGGAGAGCTCTAAGTGTAAAACGTTCAGTCTTATACAGAGCCAAAATATGTTCCTACAAATCTGTCCCAGAGAATCACAGAACACTAAGAGCTGGAAAATACTTCAGAGGTCTTGTAGTCTATTCCGCTCATGTTGTTGGAGAGAAGACTAAGAGAAGGTGATGAGCAGTCTTCTATAAACTTCGAGTTACTTGAATCAACCAACTAGCACAATATAACTAACTCCTGAGAAGAAGACTTACCGCTTAGGTTTGAAGACGACTTTCTGTCCTCCTTCAAGTATCAGTAAGGCTTTCAGTTGTGTCCCTTTATAACCCACATCAGCTTTAATGATCTTCTTGGTGGCCATGGCATGCATGATCGCCCCCAGCTCTGGTGTCTCTTCTGGGTACACTTCCCGTGGAACCACCCACTGGGCTGCAATCTCCCAGGGAGACTGCAAGGTGTGGTCCAGCTTGGGCACCAGCTCTACCCGCAAGCCAGCCATCATTCTGTGAAAAGCCCTCTGGTCCTCTCGGTTTGCTGCTGATGTGTCTAAGTTGTCAATCAGGAAAACTTTGGTGAAGATAAAGATGACAAGAAGAATTGCTAACAGCACGACTCGCTGCTTTAGCTTCATGTTGACCTCTTTGCCTTCTCCCCGACCCACTCTCTCTCTCACTTCTCAAGGAGAGCAGGTTAGCAAGGAGATTCCATGATTACGCACACTGGTCCATTTCTTCATAGGAGCGCCTCCCACAATTCCTGTAAGCCCAAGTATAAAGCAAAATTAAGTCAGAAATTCTGTCCTTCCAGCCCTGAATGGTTTGCAAGCCTCAAATATATAACTCACCCTTTTACCCTTGCTATTCCTAAAGCCTGAGAAGACCCAGTAATTTCAAATCGACTGGTCTGGGGAAGGACCTCACAAGCAAACACCAGGTACAATGAAAATTTTAAAGCAAATACTCCTGTCTTAAGAGGGTGCAGACCCATCCAGGAGCCATTTGAATGGCTACAAATGCCAAAACACCAAAACAATGGGAAAGAGCACAACAAAAGTAAAACACTAAGATATGTGTAACTCCTTAACTTTCATTTTTACCTTTCAAAATCCATAAAGGATTTCTGAACATCCAAAACCACCAGTATTTGGTAACTTTCCAGTTCTCATCTTTTCTAAATGTAAGTTTTATGACATGTTGTAAATCAGGAACTCCTAAAAATGCCAAAGAGGATACAGAGGAGAGCAGTAACTCCTCCAAATCCAAACCCCCAGCAAGCCTGGATGTGTCATTATCTGTTGCTCACGTAGTTAAACACAACGCCCAGGCACGCATCTCTGCTTGATCAGTCTCCCACTAATTATTTTTCAAAATTAAAATCCCTGTAAAAGAGGGATAATGAAATCTGGACAAATTAAGTAAAGGAAAAACATATCCCTATGCCATCTGGCTATTAGTAGAACATGACCAGAAAACTAATGAAACGTGGTACTATGGCAACATTATGAAGTCTGGACCGGTCGGGCATGTAACAAAGAGATGGGCGCCACAGATATGGACAAGCGCTGCTTCCGGCATGGGGCTGACCACGCTCCGGTCGATCCCCAGCGAACAGATCCCACACACAAGATTTCTGCAAGAACATACAGTGCGGTCTCATTTGCATGCGGACAGGTTGCTTTCCACTCCACGGGGCCATTTAAAAACACGCGCAAGCCTGCCAGCTGGACGCCTACTGACAGCACAGCGCTGGCTAAGACAAATGTGACAAGAAGATAGCAGGGTGTGGCTTCACCCTCCAATTCATCTAACAACTCAAACCATCAATGGAAGAAATCACGCCAATACAAAAGGGCGAACGTCGGGCTGAGACCCTCCCGCCGAAACTGGAGACTGCTCTTCTAGGAACAGCTGGAAACCCCTCCAAACACAGTCGACCAGGGCAACGGCGTGTTCTGAGGGCATCACCTTGCGGTGAGCCTGCCACCAGGCAGTTCATGCTTGGTGATTAACCTCCCCTTTGCGGTTCGTTTTGGTGACGGAGAGGAAAGGGAGAGTCAAATTCAAATTCTAATTCACTCCAGCCACCTGTTTTGTTTCAGCGTCCTTCTCCCAGGGAGCACGTAACACTGTCAGCTGAGGCAAAGGCAATTCAAGTGCATCCAAAATGTAACTGTGATGGTGCGGAGTTTGGTGTGAAACTCAGTAAGATGGTTCTCTGTGATTACGGTGAAGAGCGAGCGCTAGCCTGAGAGCAGATTCCAGAGACCGCTGGTTCCAGCACGACCCACGCACCACACAACTCCTTCCGTGATTCTCCACTCCTCCAGTGATCTGTTCAACGGCACCCGTCTCGGCTGCAGTGACAAAAGGGAACGTGGAAATCTGGCTGTGTCAGCGTCCGCTTCCTCAGTACCTCCAGCCGCAACCACCCACGGACCTGGCACCACTGGCACGAGGGGCAGGCGCAGAGGGGCAAGTGGGGCAGCTGTCCGCCAGGACTGACTCTGGTTAACCCCCAAACTTCCAGGGCCGCTGCTCATTTCATTTGGGCTAAGTTCTTCCCTCGTGCTGTATAAACCTATCATATCTAAACATTCAGCATAAAGGCCACGGATATTGAGGTGTGTTTGTTTTTAATCACTAAAGCAACAGGAAGTTCCAGCAGCTCCAAAATTCAGACCAACCGGTCCCGTTCCACAGTCTTTGTGCGCTTTTAAAATGGGAAATCTCGTTACCTTCTGAATAGGCCTCAGAAGCACCCGTTCAGCAATTCGGGGCCGCAAACAATTCACCCACTCAACTACGAGAGGGGTTTACGTGAAGTGAACGAAGGAAGAGTTCAACTGCTATTTCGCCATTTACCTCTGCAGATTGGGAGTGAGCACGGGGTGCAAGAGGCCAAACAAGTTTCCGTGTTTGTGATCAATCGCCAGCCACATCCTGGCAGAGCAGGAAAGACAGGTGCCCTTCGTTCCCACAGCCACCAACGTAACCTAGTGCTCATCCCCTTCTGCTGAATCACGGAAAGAACTGCGTTCCAGGCCTCCAGGTTCTCCAGCGCAGACCAGATGATGCGCCACAGTCGCCCGCCTCATCACACACTGCTTCTGATTTCCCCACGTTCCTTAGCCAGGCATCAGAGCCGCCCTCTGCATGGGCTTCCGCGGTCTGCTCTGCCAGGCAGCACCGTTCCTCAGTTTCAACTCAGACGGACCATGACCAGGCTCTGCCCTCCCTGCCACGTGTGGGACTGACCTCTGCCCTGTCATTCCTCACACGGGGACTCCCTCAAAAGACCTCTTGCTCTTACCCTTTGTCCCCATTTTCTCCTGTTTAAAGCCTAATCTATCTTTCAAGGGCCATCTCCGAGGCCATTTCCGGCCCCTCTTCACACCCTACAGAAACCTTTGTCCATTAGAGCACGCCTTCACCACACTCTGCCTCATCCAGTATCTTCTGCTACGTAGTTCTCAACTGCCCTCTCCGAAACTTGGCTCCTTGGTGATCTTACCTGTCTTTGCGATCCCTACGGTACCTCGCATAGTAAGGTGGATGCTTTATTCACCTACACTGAACAAACCACTACAAAGATCTTGGGACTGTGGCGTTAATCTCCTTTGACGTTCAGAATCACATGAGTGTGCGGCACTTAATGCAGGCTCTCCTTTATCTGCTTATCCTCTTTGGGCAATCTACTTCTCTAACGACACGACACTCTGCTCGGTTTAGCTGGTAGTTTCAGGGTATTGTTTCTTTTTCTGAAGAAACATGGACAGTTCAGAAAGAGGTTTTCTTTAGCTGGAAAGTTGCCATTCCTTCAGCGCACAGGGTAAGCCAAAGATATTTAAGAAATCGACAATGTAGAGATCATAGTGGAATTTCTACAAAAAAGTCTCTCCTATTCCAGAAAAATGTATGAGATGCAGCATAAGGTATCATACCATCCTCTAGTGATGGCATACTTCTTACTCTTTACGATGCTCCCCTCTACGCCTGCATGCTTGAGAGGGTAGGATACCCAAGACAGGGTTTCCGTGCCGTATTATCTTCTTCTCTTGCTGGAAACAACGGCACACTTACCATACTCTCCGCAAACTGGGTTTCTAAGAAGATACCCCATTTCGAAGGAAATTAAACCAAACTCACTGGATACATTCCAAATTATTCATGAAAACTTCACTTGCATTCCCAGAGGAGTCTGCCTGCTCTATTTTATGCCTTCACCTCCTCTCAGAAATGCTTCCAACAGTGTAACACTGTCCAGTTTATATTATGGTCATTTATTTTAATGGTTCTGTTATGTGGAACAGAGCCTACCTCACAGAACAAACAGACTCAAGGCAATAACATAACTCAAAAAACGTTAAATGTAAAAAAGGCAATGTAAATGGTCGTCTTCACACTAAAAGCTGGCATAAGCTCTTAAATTGGAGTTCTGGAAGGTAGACCTGTATAAGAAATTTTCCTCCTGAACCCTGGTTTCATCTGCAGCTCCATCAGCTAAATGAGGCTTGCTATGGAGGCTCATTTACTTTCATTCTCTCTCTCTCTCTCTCTCTCTCTCTCACACACACTCTCTCTCTCTCTCTCACACACACACACACACACACACACACACACACCATCCTACATATGTGACAAGTGTTTTATAAGGACAAACTCAGGACTATTAAGTTGCTTGGGGGAGAAGAGATACAGATTCTGCAGAAAATGCAGAAAAAAAGGGAGGTCTTAGTATGAAGTCTTCCACTTAAGAATCTAGCTGATGTCTGGAGGGACATATGCAGAAAAACATGGCAGTGCACAGGTCTAACTCATGGAGTGATAACATTCAATTTATGCAGCTGCTGAGGAACCTGTGAACACCCGGCCCCTCACTTCCTACTTTAGGAGGAACTCCCACAAGCCACCAGTGACGTTCCAAGTCTCACTGGCATCTGTGCACCCTAGAATCTCCCTCGGATCAACTGACATCCTTACACTATTTCTCCTCAAGTCATGGAGAAGAAATCCCAACCTTTGTGCAGAGTAACTAAAAGTGAAAGTTTCAGTAAGAACTTTTTCTTATCTTTTCAATTCAATGGTCAAATAACATTCTTTCCACATAAATGGAATGTAACATGCCTGTGAGTATAAAGTGCTCACAATGTTCAGTATGAACATTTCATGCAGAAGGCTATTAACAAAGGAGATTCCAGGCAAAGTAGGAAGAATTTATTATATACCTTATAATCATATGTACTCACATAACCTCCCACCCTTGATCCTGAGTAGGACTTACAGGGACCATTTTATGAACTTCTTTAGTAACTGCGGGTTTCAGCAAAGCTCTGAAGGTCTGGTGGGGATAAGAAGAGGTAAGGCCTGAATCTACTTAGGAGTTTTTGGTTGATTATCTACAAAGACAGACACCAACAATTCCTCCCATCACGAAGTAGAATCTATTTTTTCTCCTCCCGGAACCTGGGCTGGCTCTGTAACTTGCTTTGGCCAACAGAATGCAATGGAATGACTGTGTGCCAGGTCTGGGCCCAGCCCTTAAAAGACCTGGCAGCTTCTGATTGGGACCCAGCCACCATGCAAAGAAGCTTGGGCTAGACTACTGAATGAGGAGGGACTGAGATGGAGAGGGGCCTGGCCAGCACCTACCCATTCTGGCCACCTCAGCTCAAGTGCCCGACACAGAAGTGAAGCCACCCCAGTTCTAATAGAGGTCCCAGTCAAATGGGGTCACACGTGTGATCCCAGTCTAGAAACCATTTGGGCAGAACAACCAACCAGCTGAGCCCAGCTGACTTACACAATGGTGAGAAAGAACAAATCACTATTTTAAAAACCACTAAATTTTGGGGTGGTTTGTAAAATACGACATTTTCGCATATAGTCTGCCCTTATCAACTATTTTGGAGACATTAAAAATACTGAGGGAGAAGACACAGAAATAAATCATGTGACTAAAAACAATTCTCTCAGGAAGAAGGGAAACATTAAATTAACCATTAAATATAAACACTGGAATAATCAATTGTTAGGTCATATTTGTAAATAATTACTAATGCCTTCCACAGAGCAGTAAACTCACTGTGAAATGAAATGTTACACACCATTTCTGTCTTCATGGTAGACACTTAGGAAGATAGAGAATTAAGGTCCCTTTAAGGTAGCACAAGAAAAAACGGACTCTGAACTGGATCATTTACTAAAATCCATTTACATACTTTAGAACAATGGAGACTAACTAACCTCACACCCTCACACAACTACACATGCCCAGTTTATACAACCTGCCATTCATACTTCAGCCAAAGCCTAAATAATAGCAAAAATCACAACCTTTCAGTACAAAAAGTATTAGAAACACACACACTTTCACCCTGAGCTAAGTCTGATATAATGTCCTTTTGTTTTTTAATGGGTAGCGGCATCAGAGCATTGGGCTACATTATTATTACCCGCCCCCTAGAAATAAATGCAGTTTCTCCTGCTGGTTACTGGCAATTCTGAGGAAAATCAAGAGCATTCAAAAATTGTCCCACCTAGCACTGTGTGCTTCCTTCTTTCCAGCAAGTCAAAACCACCAATACCAAAGAGCATCACATGTTTATTACCCGGCTAAATCCTGAGTATCCCCCAGGAAACCAGCCCATTCTTGCATTGCCATGCACTGCCTACCACGAGAGCATACTCTTCTTTTTCACCTTCAAATAGCAGTCTTCCACGAAACCAAAAATATCGAACAATATTAATCAGTATCTACATCTAGTTTTCCTTTTCCTGCTAATTCTCTGCTTAAGAAATAGCTTCTTAAAGACAAATACCCTATGATTTCACTTGGATGTGGAATTTAAGAAACAAAACAAAACAAAACAAATGAATGGGGAGGGGGGACAAAAAACCCAGACTCTTAACTATAAAGAACAAACTGGTGGTTAACAGAGGGGAGGCGGGTGGGGGTGGGTGGGTGACACAGGTGATGGGGATTAGGAGTCCTTATCCTAAGGAGCACTGAGTAATGTATAGAATTGTTGAATCACTATATTTTATACCTGAAACTAATATAACACTGTGTTAACTACACTGGAATTAAAATAAAATAAAATAGGAAATAGCTGCTTATTCTAAATGTAAACTCTTTTGAGGCAGAATGGTTAAGAGTTTGTGCTCCGGATTCCGACCACCTGCTTTACCACCTACTGTGGCTCTTGGGAAAGCGATTTAATGCCTAACCTCCCTGGGCCTCAGTTTTTTCATATGATTTCAGTGAAGTAAGAACACTATTGCCTAACTCACAGAGTTGCTAAAAATGAACATTACCACATTCACTGTGTTAAAGTTAGTGCCTGGGCAACCCATAGTGATCACTTGTTAGTCATTACTATCAGATCAAAAACCCAAAGATGACCTCCTGAAAGGAGAAAGAATGACAAAGAAAATAATCCTCAATGATTGTATTGTCTTCTGAGCCAAATCCTTTCCTAAATTTGAAGAGCAGTGAAGACTATAAGCAAGTAGGTATCTTCAAAGTGGGTACCATGTGAAGTAGAAGACTGGAAGGCCATGTCACTAACTGGACCCACCTATTTCTCTTCTCTACAAAGTTCACATCTACCACGTTCAACAATGGGAAGCATTAAGTGATTCTATTCTACAAAAAAGGTGGAAATAAAATGCCTTCACAATCCTTTTTTTAAAAAAAAAATTTTTTTTTAATGTTTTATTTATTTTTGAGAGAGGGAGAGACAGAGCACGAACAGGGGAGGGTCAGAGAGAGGGAGACACAGAATCTGAAACAGGCTCCAGGCTCTGAGCTGTCAGCACAGAGCCCGATGCGGGGCTTGAACTCACGGACCTCGAGATCATGACCTGAGCCAAAGTCGGCCGCTTAACCGACTGAGCCACCCAGGCACCCCTTCACAATCCTTTTTAATTTGGAAAATTAGCTCTCTGTTTTAAAGACGATAGCTTTGGGGGCACCGGGTGGCTCAGCCAGTTGAGCATGTGACTCTTAATTTTGGCTCAGGTCGTGATCCCAGGGCCATGGGATTGAGCCCTGTGTCAGGCTCAATGCTGAGCATGGAGCCTGCTTAAGATTCTCTCTTTCTCCTCCTTCTACCCTTCTCCCCTACTCATGCCCTCTCTCTAAAAATTAAGGGGAGCCTAGGTGGCTCAGTTGGTTAAGCATAAAACTCGATTTTGGCTCAGGTCATGATCTCACAGTTCAGGAGTTCAAGCCCCGTGTTGGGCCCTTTGCTGTGTCAGCATGAAGCCTGCTTGGAATTCTCTCTCCCTCTCTCTCTACCCCTTCCCCACTTACGCGCTCTCCCTCTCTCAAAATAAATAAATGAACTTAAAAAAAAAAGGATGATAGTTTTACATGTCCTAAAGCTCTTAAGATAGGCCTTAAGAGTAACTTAAAAGCTATAGGTATAGAAAATCCAATTCCCACATAGTCCAAATTACTCTGAGTATTACTTTTCCCCCCACTGTTCTCACTTCAACATTTGTTCAGATCTGTAAACTCACAATCCCTTACATGATTGTGTCCCATGAAGGAAGGTAACTAAAATGATCACTAGGCGTTAAGGAAATGTTAAGGTAGCCTTTCTTCTGGGCTGTAAGAGCAAAAATGAAATAGGCAATAGAGAGTGTTTGTGCCCTCCGGAAAAAAATTCAATTCCTGCAAACCTGTGCCATTTAAACCTTGATCTAGGGCAACTCTTTAACCCTATTCCTTGAAAAAGGAAAAGAAAAAAATCTTTAGCTCATAATGCTAGTGAGGTTTGTTCCAAAAAACCAACTCAGGCAGTGTTCCCTGATCCAGAAACTCTGGAAATGCCTGAGAATTTGCATTCTGTTTCAAGTGGGCCAGGTAAAATGAAACTTCCCAAGTTCTAGGTATTTATTTCACTGCTCAATTGTCAGTATATAACCACCATTGAAAGCTATATTATAGAATGTAATTCCCAGAATAGTGTGGAAATATGGAATTTCAAAGAATATAATATTATCCTTCAGATTTTCCTGTTTTCCGTCTATATTGCTCCATTCACTACAGTTCTGGAAAGGTATATTAGCTTTATGCAACAATAACACCTCACATTATTAACCTTACGCTCTGGGTGTGTCAAGCTGGTGGGCCACAGATCACTCTAGAAACAGCAGAACCCCAAGGAGGTCTGGGCTGAATTGAGGCTGAGTGGCTCCAGGCACGATCCCTTTGTTAAAATATGAATATAAACACACACACACATTTTTGGGCATGCCTATCTCCTCTCCTATTCTGTGAGCTCCTCAAGGAAAGGGGATGTATTTTACTCTTTGTACTTCCCCATAAGCTGGCACAGTGCAGGGTGCGGGAGAGCCACTCAATAGATGCCCACCAAATAAAAGGAGTGAAGAACAAGGGAGGGAAACCTGCATGGTTATAAAAATGTCTTCAGCTCCTTGGTCTAAAGATGGCCTCTTTTACAGACACAGAGAAACTAGGTCCTGTGATGAATTCAGATACATAGCACAGTAAAACAATGCAGAAATATCACATATGTATACGTATATGTATTATGCACCCAATTTTAAATTGTTGCCGCCCTGTGCCCTACTTCCACCTTTCAAGGCCACTGCTACTGCCAAGCCTGTTTCTGCCATTGGCTGGGACTGGGAACAAAGGCGATCTGCAAATGCTAAGAGGAAGACTGGAGATGGCCGAAGACACTGCCCGAGAATGACACCAGACAGGGCTGGCGCCCGATCTTCAGGTGTCACTGGCGATGCTTTCCGAAATGAGAACCACCGCTGGTACCTTCCTATCATTTTCTCTTTTCTGCCGAAGAACTACACAAACATAAATGCACCTCAACAGGGTGTACGTCTGTTATCTAAACCAAGGGTAAGAAACGAGGTGTCCACAAAAGGTGTTTGGGCAGCCAAATCATGGTTCCAAAGTCCATCCACTAACGGAGAGGCGCGGCAGACCCTCGCAAAGCCCACCTGGCTGCTTCATGTCCCATCGGGAAGCAGAGTTACCGGGGCTGCTACTCCGCAGAAGACCAGAAGCCGCTAATGTAAAAGAGGGCGGCAGGGACACGAACAACAGCAAAAGCACGACTTCCCCCCTGTGAAAGAAGAGGCAGGCTATTAAAGGCAGGGTCAGGAATTCAAAAAGCAGAGGACGGCAAACATACGTATCTCAATCGCTTCGAAGCCCGGCTCCATCACGGTCAGTAACGGATGCCAGTACCACAACCTCAAGTCAATAAAAGAAACACGAAACTATACTGTTTAAAAAGCAAACAAAGCACAGAACACATTATAAAAATTTCCCCACAGTAAGTAGAAAACAAGAATCTTCACAGATAAGACTTATTCCCTAAACAAATAAGATAAGGGAGGCACTGCTATGTACATACGGCAGAAAGCCTTGGAGAGAATGGTATGACGGACTCACCCCTGTACTTGGTTCTGTTACACGTTCCTAATTTCATAGGCCCTCACCTCCTTTTATCACGTACCCAAATTAGTATCCTCCCCTCCACTGGACTGTCACCTTGCCAGAAAGGACAGACCTCTAGACACACACCAAAGCTATCTCTTTTCTGCATCAGGCTCCACTTCTTATCTCACACTGGGATGACACCTGCACCCCCAAGACTCATCAAGCCGGGTGCTAGGCCTCTCTTTCCTCTTTTGCTTTTGGGTAGGAAAGACAAAATCACAAGTCAGATCTCTGCATTATATTCTCTCCTAGAGGCCTCTAGCAGTCTGGCTGACATCGGAAGCTGGTCAGAAGCTGCCTTCAGTTGCAAAGTAAGGTCTTCCATTCCCCCAGGTCTGTGCTAATCAATTCACTAGTCCTTAGGGGTCACAGAGGCAGCTCAAGGAAGGAAAAGAGGGAGAAATAATATAGGTTTGGAATAAGGAGCTGCTGGAGAAGCACTTCCGGGAGGGACAGCTCTCCTTTCCCGTGACCCTCTGTAAGGGAGGAGAAGGACAGGACAATCAGGATCAACGATAATGGTGAGGCCATCACCAAGAGCTCCAGTTCTTCAATTAAAGCAAAAATACTGACTACCAATCCAACTGCTCAGTTAGTCTAGCCAGAGAAGGCTGCAGGAGCAAGTCTGCGAAGCTGCACCTGACCGGGGCACCAACGGCTGCCCGGAGGCCGCAGGTGGCTAGAACAGCATACAATCACAGAATCAAATCTCAAGGCCGCTCCAGCAAGTAACACCCTGTACAGATACCCATCTTCACGGCAATTTTCAACAGTAATCTGAAACACGCTCTCTTGTCTTTCCCTTAACAAAAACAGGAACTCAACAATTTATACACTAGAGTATTTCCCCTTCCTTCATACTGTTTGCCATTCATTCGTTCAACCACCAAATATTTCTTGCACATCTACTGGGCGCTGTTAGGTGCAGAGAGAAAAGTATGCCAATTATCATCACTATTACGACAAACTGTAGTGCCTCATTGTAACTATACTTCCTACCTCAATCTACAAAACCACATGGCACTTAGTCCCCGGGTGACCAGACATCAGCTTCAGAAGGCTGTCTCCTTTTTATTGTTTGCAACTGTGGCCACAAAATACAAAGAGCAGCCTCTGCTTCTATTATGAGACTGCACCAATCATCAAGAGACAACCACTGTGGCTGCTATTTTTAAAAGTTATCAGTTCAAGAGCTGCAGTATCTGACTTCAGGGTTTACACCATGGAAATGATGGTCACACCAAGTGTGGGAAGTTCAAGTCTGCCCTGCAAACAAACAAACGAACAATTTCATTTAGAAATTCAATATTCAAAAAAGATAAACAGAAGAAGCTTTAAGAGCATGTGAGAGAGCTGGATTCTACAGATGGAAATCAAGAGAATGGACTAAAAGTCAAAGAACTAGGAACTCAACATCAAATAATGAGAAGACATCTAAGATTAGATGATAGAAACAGTGATGTTTGTTCCCTAATTCAGAGTAACCAGAAAGAAAAGCAGGACATGTGTTTTCAAGCTTTCGCTCTTTAACCCAATAGTAGCTATTTTCCTACTAGGTTCAGAGAAACAACAGAACAAATCAATGACACATTTTCACAAGGCACACTGAAAGAGAAGCTGTGAGCTCCGAGATTTCCTGATCATCTTTTGCCATGACCATTCTATCACCACACTTTATCGTGAGCGAGGTTGAGAATCTGAATTACTTGCTTGTGCTTTTTTATTCTCCTCTGATAAGCACTTTGAAATCTGGAAACCCTTCCTGTTGACTGATTCCATTGTATGGTTCCAGGGATCAAAGTCCAACAACTTCCTAAACTTCAGAAAAGTTATCAATTTAACACAGAACATTAATTTCAAATCTACCTTAGGCTGGCTCTGAGTCTAGGCAAATAATTTAGCATTTTTAACACCTGTACCTCAGTTTCCCAAAGACATGTCTTGCTGATAAATAATATATGTGGAAGTGCTCTAAGGCTTAGCTCAAAGGTTCTGCGTAAACTCAAGGATTATAAGTACACTGAGGTCTCTAACTCAATTTTTAAAAGCAACCCCAATGAAATTTATGCATTAATTTATAACACGATAGGAAATATCAATCTTAATCACCCGATTCATGTATAAACGTATAAAGTCCTACAATTTAAAAGCTAAAAGATCCCACATTCCTCTTCCCCTTTCAAGGTGAGAAATCAAATCTCCACAGGGAAACTGGGTGGAGAGGATACTGATACCTGGCCCTACCTAGCCTCAAAGTCGCAGTATCAAGCATCTCTAATTTTCCTAAATTACATACTCCTCACCCATCCAAGTGATAATATAGCCATTTAAAGGATTAAAATTCTATAACGACCAATCATGCCCTGTCGTCTCCACTTTCCCTCCAACATCCTTCCACCCCTTCTCTTCCTACCTGAAGACTTGCAGGCAACAGAAGCCTGCTTAGAACGAAACTCTTTTATCAGATCCCACAATCAAGGGCGCAGCTTGACAACTGCTCACATCCATCAAGGCAACGTTTCGGTTCGCTTCTAATCGCGGGGCCCACACACCCGGAAATGAAATCTCAAGCGCAACCCACTTTGGACTACCGTATCATTTCCTTAAGTTGTGCCCGAGTGCGAGTGCGGGGTGCACGATCCCGAGAGACCGCGGAGCCCGGGCACGGTTACCCTGCCTCCCGCCTCGGGCCTGGTGGTCACTTGCGCTTCTCGGCCACGAGGTGGGCCCGCGGGCGCGCGATCCTCCCCGGGCCGCCGCAACGGGCGCTCGGCGGGACGCGAGGGCGGCACTGGGACCAGTCTCCTCTAGGGACCGCGCCGGGGCGCGAGGGGTGGTCATTAGAAAGACCCCCGGCGGCCCCAGGTAAGGCCGCGCCTCAGGCGGGCCGAGCGGGCGCTCCTCCAGCCGCGCCCGCCCGCAGGAGTCTGCCGGGGGGGGGGGGGGGGCCCAGCAAGGCGGGGCGCGCGGCCCGGGTCGGTCTCCAAGGCAGCAGTGGGGCCAGATCCGGGACCCGCCAGCGGTCGCCCGGGGACCGCTCCGGGTACCGGCGCCCGGCCCCTCGGGGAGGCGCCCCGCCCCCAAGC